CAACCCAGGTACATGCCCTTGACCGGAATCGAACCTGGGACCTTTCAGTCCACAAGCCGATGCTCTATCCACTGAGCCAAACCAGTTTTGGCGACCTCCGTAATACTTTCAACAATAAATGTAAATTTAAAAACAATCATTAATGGGCTTTACAGGCCAAGCTAACAAGTTTAGGTATCAAAAAGCCTTTAGAAATGTTCTTGACCTGAATTTGCTCCATCTATTTCCTCCTGCCTGATATGACTCCTCACTCTTCACTGCCTCTTCAAGATCCAAGGACTCCTCCAAGGCAGGACCAATCTCACCTCCTCTGTGAAGTGTTCTCTGACAACTCAGGCTCACAGTAATTTCTATGTTGAACTCCAAGCACTGCTGCCTGTTTATTCAAGTAATGCTAAACCTAATAAAAGCTCTTTATTTTCTTATGGACAGACATAATCTACTTGGGGAAAGGGACCATGTCTCATATTCCTCTGTTCCACTCCATGCACCGAGATCAGTGGCTTACAGTTGCAGGAGTTCAGTAAGCATTGGAAGAGCGACTCAGAACTGGAGTTGTAACAAGGCTGAACTCAGGGAGATCCATGCTGATAGAGTTCAAAGACACTGTCACCTGGGAAATGAGCGCAGGAGTACCCAAGGACCACGTTAAGTAACACCAAATTGCAGAGGGAAAAGCTGTTCTTTTCTAATCAGAAATCTTCTCTTTTAATTATGTCAAAGAAGAAAGTCTCAGCTAGCGCTAATATCACTTGAACATCTCCCTTTTGAGGAGCATTTATGCCTAGAACCTCCATCGTCAACAGTATCTGGCTGAATTTTGATAACAGTACTTTAGCTACATTGCTGGCTTGCCAAGGTACATTCACCATCAAAATTGGAAGGTTCAGCTGGATTGCTTAAGCGTCTCCAGGTCTAGTGTTCTGTTGCTGTGATTCTGCATCAAAACTAAATTCTTTACCCAGCCATCTGCCAGGCTCACTGTCCCTGACATGTACTGTAATGCGGGCTGCAAAGGGCAGGGATTTTTGTTTTGCACTCTGATGTAGCTGAAATCCCCACAACAGTGTCTAACCAAGAGCAGGTGCTCAGTAAATAATTACTAATGATTGAAAGAGTATATGTAACAGATAAGAGCAACATGCATATTAATGTGCCACCGAAAAATAAATCTCCAGATCATATTGACAACATTCCTAACAATGGTTAAACATTCCACCACTTCAAATCACTCAGCTCACATTCCCTTAAAGACCCTACCTGCCTGAGTGCGTTCCTATGGCCACCACTGTGCCACTTGGATGAAAATCTGCACAGTGTCCTGGTTCCTAGAAGAAAGACAGAAAGCTGTTGGGGAGTACATGAGAAAGTCTCACTAGATCTATAGGAACAGTAGCAAAAACTATTTGAAAATAACTTGTTTCATATAAACAACGAATTCCAATCAACATCCTTGTAGCTATGTGGATATGAGAGGAAAAAAGAATTTCAGAGCAGGAAGGGGTACGCTGGCAGAGTGGTGAGGAGAAAGGACAACCAGCTTGTGGCTAGGCAGTGGAATAATAATAGAATAACAACAAACATTTGTATAGTTCTTTAGAGTCTGCAAAGAAAATGTATACACCTTTGGGCTAGACAAGATGGGTATCTCAGTGGGGTTGGGAGAAAATACAGTAAGAGACCAATTCAAAAAGAAGACAGTCTGTTAGTGAGCAGCACTTGCTGAATCCAACTGCACCACCACCAGAGGCCCAAACATTTCTGAACAGTGCTCCATGTACATGTGAAATCTTTTTACTATGGAAACTGATGGAAAAATTGAGCTTTTTGCACTGCTAATTTGTTTCTTCAGAGTGGGTTCATGGAATATTTTTGACTAAACACTCTTCCCTTTACTAAACACTTTGTTTTAACCAATGCTGAGTTCTTTCACTTTTGCTGCTTCCAAATGCTAATCTGGGGCATTTCTGTGGGGAGATTATAATCCAATTTTGTTTTACTCACATCTACAAGTCTGGTCCATTCCAGCCTGTGTTCCATTGAGTTCCACATGCACACCTGTCTGTCCTGAGCACACGTCAAGAGCAAATCTTTGAAGGGATGTGTGGCAAGACCCCAAAGTTCATCTGTATGACCCTGAAATAAAATACACCTATTATTATGTTAAAAGAAACAAAATATCATAAAAATATTCAGTTAATGGTTAAAATTACAGTTACCTGGACTTCTATTTGGAAGCCATCATTAAATGTTCCCCGTAAAATAAAATTTCGTGATGTGCCTACTAAAAATTGATCTGCCTTTCCTTCTGCAACAGCTCTGATTGTTCCATACTGATCAGGAACCTAAAAAAAAAACACAAACCACACTGTAATGTCACCATGCACATACTAACATGCATTAATTACAACCCGAAAACAGCACTAATCGCTAAAAACAATTATGGGGTAATGAGTGACAAAATTCCAAATTTGAAAGGAATATGGCAATCTTATGCTAATGATAATTTATTTATTCAATTAATTTTATTACACAGAAGTTATAATGTATTATTATTATTGACATTCTTTGTTTCAGTACATTTTAAATTTATATTTTACATGATTTTAAGAGTTAAGCCGAAACCGGTTTGGCTCGGTGGATAGAGCGTCGGCCTGTGGACTGAAAGGTCCCAGGTTCGATTCCGGTCAAGGGCATGTACCTTGGTGGCGGGCACGTCCCCAGTGGGGAGTGTGCAGGAGGCAGCTGGTCGATGTTTCTCTCTCATCAATGTTTCTAACTCTCTATCTCTCTCCTTTCCTCTCTGTAAAAACTCAATAAAATATATTTAAAAAAAAAGAAGAGTTAAGGCTTAGGTGGAGAGGAAGGTCTGGTTTTGTTACTTAATAGTTATGTTATTTTGGTCAAGTCATTTGGCCCAAGACAAGTTTCTTTATATATAATATGGGAATAATAATAATAATAATAATAATAATAATATTACAGATGCTACTTCCCTGTAAACTAAAAAGCAGTATATTGTAAAGTGTTATAACTCATTAATAGGACTCCTTGGTAGATCAATCTCATTTAATCCATTACATGGGGAAACTCTCAGTGAATGTTATCTAGATACTAAAAGCCTAAGTGACTGTTACAGCAGAAGGACCAGAACAACCAGTTGCTGGATGCGCACTGACTACCAGAGGGCAGACACTCAAGGCAGGAGTGCCACTCAGCCAGAAGCCAGGTTCACATCTGGCGAACACAGCAGTGGTGGCGGAAACCTCTCCCACCTCCACGGCAGCGCTAAGGAAGGAGCAGTGAGCAGGAAGGCAGTAAGGAGCGAGGGGTCCCGGACTGCAAGAGGGCACAGGTTGGGCTGAGGATACCCCAGGGCACAAATCTCATGCATCGGGCCTCTAGTGTTAAAAGAAACGGAATCTCTGGCTGACCTCTTACGGTAAAAGCTTCACTGCTTTTTACTGTGTGAGCTGGTTAGGAGTCAGCGGTCCTAGATTGTGAGAGGGATGTCTGACTGCCAGCAGTTGGACATCCCCTGAGGGGTCCCAGATTGGAGAGGGTGCAGGCCAGGCTGAGGGACAAGCCGCCCCCTCCCCCGCACCTGCACGAATTTTGTGCACCGAGCTACTAGTTAATATAATAAGTAAAGTGTTATAACTCATTAATAGGACTCCTTGGTAGATCAATCTCATTTAAACCAAAGAATGACTCCTTCTTTATGAAGTATGACCCCAAAATTACTCCTGAAAGCACAAAGAACTGAATTCTAAAAGTAACCCAAATTTACATTAGAAATGGCAAAAGGAGGATAAACTAGATGGTATAGCTTGACTACAGAGGGTATGAGTTATCTGTGAAGAAAAGAAACAGCATGAATTTAAGGCTGAGATAAAGCAATTCTTTCTTATCTATCTTCTTGAAGATAAAACTCAAGAGTAGTACTATCAGGATCCTCTTTTTAGAGATTTTGTCTGGAAAACATGTTTAGAATACAGTGAGCATAAGTTCAAAATTTAAGTCACTCAAAAAGAGTCAATATCAAAGCAAGAAATTTGCCCTTGCTTTGAGAATTATTGATCTAAAATACAATTCTTAACTGTTCTACCATCTGAGACCTCAATTCAATTAGCATTTAATACCTTTCACAGTACACATAATACCTGTCAGGTTTTATAAATACACCTAGGTCCACACCATGAAGAAGAAACAAGCAGAGATAATTATCTACTATCATTAAGCTCACTGTTGAAATGATTATTTTCAGTATTAAAATTAAATTGGTCATTTTGCATACCCTGGTTATATTTTGGATCACTAAGAAAAAGCCTTAGAAATAAACAAGTTAATTATTCTGCCCAATCTTTTTTTTTAAATGCTTTCAAATTATTTTGTTTAATGATTGGTTTCTTTTTTCTTTTCATTCTGAGGAAATGAAATGACAAGGATATGTACCAACTTCCCAGAAAGTGTAAGTTATCTTTTTTTTTTTTAAACATATTTTATTGATTTTTTACAGAGAGGAAGGGAGAGAGATAGAGAGTTAGAAACATCGATGAGAGAGAAACATCGATCAGGCGCCTCCTGCACATCTCCCACTGGAGATATGCCCACAACCCAGGCACATGCCCTTGACCAGAATCGAACCTGGGACCCTTCAGTCCACAGGCCGACGCTCTATCCACTGAGCCAAACCGGTCTCGGCGTAAGTTATCTTAAAGTGGGACAGAAGACATTAGTTTAGAGGGTTTAACATTATAATTTTTATGTTCCCATCCTTACCTCAATTTCTCTTTCGGGATTCAAATCATGATCCCACAGAATTATTTTTCTGTCTTTTCCTCCTCCGGTTAATAACATCCCATTTCTCATCTGACAAAGTGTGAATACACTGCCATCATGAGCTTTGATTTGTTTGCTGATCTGATAAACACCTAATAAGATTAGGAAAAAATAAAAACACTAGTGATAACATTTCCCCTCAAACTTTAGTGGCTTTCTGGAAGAAAATAGATGCTTTATGACTTAAGATGGGATTACATCATGATAAACCCATTGTATGATGAAAATGCATTTAATATACCTAATCCACCAAACATCATAGCTTAGCCTAGTTGGTTTCTACCAAAGTGCATATCATGTTTGCACTATGGTAAAGTTGAAAAACTGTAAGTCAAACTACAGTAAGCTGGGGACCATTTGTATAAAGCAGTGGTTCTCAACCTTCTGGCCCTTTAAATACAGTTCCTCATGTTGTGACCCATCCATAAAATTATTTTTGTTGCTACTTCATACCTGTAATGTTGCTACTGTTATGAATCGTAATATAAGTATCTGATATGCAGGATGGTCTTAGGCGACCCCTGTGAAAGGGTCGTTTGGCCGCCAAAGGGGTCGCGACCCACAGGTTGAGAACCACTGGTATAGCGTGATTACTCAAAAGTGCCTACCACTCAACAATCAAACACCTATTTTCAGCAAGTTATGCAAGGCTGGTAGTGTAGCTTAATACAACCTTTTGTATTTATGTCAATATTGTTACTCTGAAAATATTTCAAAACACCTTCTTACAAAAGGGTAGAGTAGTGACAATTCTATAGACAACAGGGGATACTCAGAACTTTACAATCTCTTATAATCATCTTATTATGGTAGTTAGCATAGTATCACTTTTCTGATTTTAGAGTTGAGGACACACAGGTATAGAAATGGCTTAACCAATACCACATAGTTAGCTAGTGACAAAGCTGTGAATAGGGCTCAAGGCTCTTCACTCAATGTACCCTTAAGTTTGCAAAAAAAGCTTTAATTT